ACTAAAGAGCTTAGGAAAAGTAAATAAGGAATAGAGGGTGAGTAAAGAAAATCTGCATCAAAAGACCTTCAAAATCATCAAATCCCAATGGAAATCTCCATCCAAAAGCCTCCAAAAGCATCAAATCTCAATGGAAATCTCCAAAATTTCAATAGAAATCTCCATCCAAAAGCCTCCAAAAGCATCAAATCTCAATGGAAATCTTCAAAATTTTACTAGACATCTCCATCCAAAAGCCTCCAAAAGCATCAAATCTCAATGGCAATCTTCAAAATTTTAATAGCAATCTCCATCCAAAAGCCTCCAAAAGCATCAAATCTCAAGGAAATCTTCAAAATTTTACTAGACATCTCCATCCAAAAGCCTCCAAAAGCATCAAATCTCAATGGAAATCTTCAAAAGTTTAATAGAAATCTCCATCCAAAAGCCTCCAAAAGCATCAAATCTCAATGGAAATCTTCAACTGTTTAGTAGAAATCTCCATCCAAAAGCCTGTACAAAAGCAAATCTCAGCAAAGTCAGAAGGGAAAAAGTAAACTATAACAATAAAAAATATATCACTACAACTACCCCTCCCAAAAAAAGAAGACATTATTCTGGGGGCCTTTATTAATCTGTGCAGGAAAAAAAGTGTCACTATTCTGGGGTACTTTATTAATCCAAGGACTACATTAAGCTAGTAAGGGTTTAATAAATCTTTGGATTTTGTTCGCATACTTCGGGTTGCTGACAAGAGGAGCTCAAGCCGCCAATCTGGCAGAACGGATTCAGTGATCTAGCTCCGCCATGCTCCGCCTAAAGATGTAGATACTTGATTAACATACCCCCCCCCAGCCCTGAAGAGCTTTTACCATGTCTGGCGGGGGGGAGCTTCTTCATCAAACTATCGCAACACCATGGCGTCCCGCACCGTGCTTCCACCGTGCGCCGGGGTCGAGGTGGAGGGTTCAGGGCTTCGGGGTGGCGGGTGTCCAACCAAGTCGACGCTTGATCTGCCGGACGACGGGCGAACACTGCGGGCGAAGCCGGACGACGGTTTTGACCGGTGCGGAACATGATGCTGAAGAGGTCGGCCCTTAAGGATTCTTAGATACCGTCCACCTGGATCTTCCGATGGGTGCCTGTTTTTGGGTACCTGGAATGAACATGCCCCTGCCTTCCGAGATTACAGGTATATAGAGATTTGATGGTATTTGGATGAATAACTGCCCCCCGCCTGAATTTGAACTCGTCTCACTTTTTAGACCTGTTTTGAACCCTTGGCATCATGGTGTTTTAGTGTCAATTGATGTAGATGTAGACATATGTAGACCATTGTAGACCAATCCGGCTGTGGTTGCACTGAAAAGGGATGACCAGGCAGAACACGTGGCCATGCTTCCAACTTTGAACTGAGTCTGAAGACTTTAAGGATCCACCACCGCTCTGCAGGTGCCTAGGCAAAACGTGTCGAACAGATCACCCTCGTGGACCTTGTGGCAGGAATTCTTCTCCTGATCACTCTCATTCCCCCAACCAGCACCATCCGGAGCACCATCGGGAACCTTCAAATCCCAAAGAATCCAATCTCGTGGGACTTGATGGGCTGCCAGGTTTGTTTGACCCCGCCCCCCCCCACACACTCCAGAATATGCCATACACCTATATACCTGAATCTTCCAACTATGCAACATATTTGCCTTTATATTTGTACTGCCCAACTATGCCAAACTAAACCTATGCCAATATACCTTCCAACTATGCCAAACTCAAACTTCAGCTGACAGTCCCAGACAGGTCCATGCGTAAGGGAGAGCATATCAAAAGCGTCGCGCCGTGACGTTCTGTTTGGCTCAAGTAGGGGCTGGTGAACGGTGGCTGCGGATGACGAATATGGAACGATGACATGGAATGACATGATGATGACTTGTGTCAAGACGTTTCTTCCAAGTAAGTAGGGTACTGGTGCGACCCAGGTGGGTGGGCACACGTAAGAGAAAATCATCTAAGGAGCGACCAGGTGGAGAAACGAAACGAAACGGTTGCACGAAGTAATTTACTTGTTGAGGTGTGTGCTTCCGTCTCAGCTGGTCATGAGGCTGAGGCTGATTGGTGATGTCCGCCCGTCTGAGACATCCGATCCCTGATCAAGTCTCAAGTCAATCGTCACTTAGTCCATGAACACATCCACTTCCGCCCAGCAAAGGGCCCAGCAAAGGCTACTCTCAAAGAAAATGACGCAACTGAGCACATGGGTCTTGCAAAGAAATACATCATCCGCCGTATGCCAAAGTTATTGTTCATGAATCCAGTCTAGGACTGTGGAAACTCAGTTTGTTCTCTCTTTGGCTCTCTTTTGCCGCTTTTTCCTTCACAATCGAGTTCAGAGCCGCTCCAGACGAAAAGATGGGTGCGAGCATGGAGGGCCTGACTGAGGGCATGTGACCTAGCCACACTTGGGGAGTTGGGTAAGGTGGAAGTCAAGGGTTTCCCTCAGTCAACAAACATGGACAACCCCTTCTTGTAGAGGAACATTGCATTTCCAGGGATGACGATGCCATCCGGTTTGACTATGTTGGGAGTTTTTTTCTTGGGTGAGACCTACGTTCTTTTTTTTGGGAGGCCTCGTCAGCGAAGGCACGTTCGGGGAAGAGCGAGATTCCATCGGATGGTTGTACTTTTGGTATTGGCCTTTCAGAATCCGGACCTGGAAGGGAGGGCTTGGTTTGGGTCCGGACGGCTTGCTACGCCATGAAGGGTTCACCCAGAGTGGCCCATGTTTTTTGGGAGATTCCTTGCGCACTAAGAAGTCGTGGCCTGGTCTGAACTTCCAACAGGGTGGTGCAATGGAGGAAGATGTAGCAAATAGCTACTAAGACTATCGTAGCTCCTGGCCTTACTAGGAACAAGAAGCTAGTAACAAAGGACATCGCTACGAGCGTAGCGAATCGGACGCTATTAACGGGTGGAGGACGTCCGTGGACGCCTCGCGGGGTGACATGAGTGTACCATCAAAATACTATCAACTATCAACTACACTCCAGGCTTCGAAAGCCAGTGGTCAATCATGTTCAATCACTTCTTTTTGGGGTAGGTCTCCCACTTTTAGAGTGAGACTGACCACCGCATTCGGAAGGAGTTTCGCTGTAGGTTTCAGCTTTCTGCTGGCGTCCTATGCGTTTTCCCACTGCTGGTCTTCCTTCAGCTTCTTGGATGAAGTCGGTTTTTCAAAGGCCGAAGTGGGTGAGCCAACCAAAGCGTCTACCCCGTCGGACCGTGGACGGGTCAGTAGATGGTCAGGCTGACAGACGGACACCAAACACTACCATCCCATAGAGGTGGTGTAGAGTCTCATAGGTGGTGTATGGTGGTATGATGACTTACCACTCTTTTGGGGTCATCTTACCATCATACTCATTCTCGGTGGTGTAGATGTCTCCTCAGCCGCTCTCACCGAGTTGTCGACTTGACGACTGATGCAGGTGGATCCGCACTGACTCGATGCGAGTGGATCCGTAGGCCCGGTGACTGGTGATCTGCATCCCCACCATCCGACGTGGCGAATTGAAGACCTGGTGATGTGTAGGACCGTAGGAATGATCTATTTTGGGGGTGATGTGGTACATTCCGTTGGGACTTTTGAGGGAAGCTTGATGGAACCCACCTGGAGGTCCAGGAATCATCACTCTGCCTGGATCTCCTTCGGTTTGACCCTTCAAGAGTTCGGCCGACCCAATTTCACGAAGTGGTGCAACATCCTTTAGTGATCTTAGTGGATGGGTGGGCCATAAAATCAGTGGGCCCAGAATCCCTATAGGTCCTTGGGTTCATGCCGATTTTTTTATCTGTAGATGTGTTGGAGCCTCCCAATTACCACTCTTTCCGATGTGTACGTTTGGCCCCGCCAATTACTGGGGAACAACTGGCCCCTACAGGTCGAGGATTTCATGATTCATGATACTAAGCAGTATACTAAGTGATACTGGATTGGGTCATACGGAAGCTTTGTTCAATGCAGGTAGGGATCCAGGTTTTACTGGGTCATACTGGACTTGAAGGGTTCATTTTCTACAGGTGTCCCAGTAAACCTGTAAGAGGTCGGAGGTCTTATAACTTATCACTATTTTAGAGATGGAAAGGCTTGCAGCCAACTGAACCAACATCACTGGGCCCAAGGGAATAGACAGCCTCAGGCCCAGAGAAAGTCTTTCTTTTTGGGCTGGTTCTTTGGAACGCCGCAAGGAGCTCTCCTCACATTAGCTATAGGATGTTACAGGTATACCTTCTTGGAGTTCTTTTGTTGCTCATGCGGTTTCTTTTTTCATAAAGCTTTTCCTTGGAAGAGTTCTGGGTTCATAGGCAGTTCATCGTTTTCTTTTCTTTTGTCCCTCCGTCACTGTCCGAACTCCGTCCCCTCAGGATGCTCTCCCCCGGCCTTTCACGCTTGGCATCGCGCCCGCGCTCGTCCCTCCCAGCGTCGGCAGCGCGCGCAGACGCCGACGAGGGGCGGACGGCGGGGAGCGCGGGCGCCTTAGTCGCGCTGGCGGCGGCCTTGGCCTTGGTGCCTTTGCTGCTGCTTTTGCCCAAGAGCGGCCAAGCAGCAAGCAGCTCACACCCTGAGCTTGACCCAAGAAGCTTCTAAAGAACCAGCGATGTGAGGCCTGAACTCACTGCACGCCCCGAAGGAAGAAACATAAAAAACCACGAAGCTAAGACCCAGCTAGCGGGGCCCCTCCTCAATAATAAGAAGAACTCACTTTGACGAACACATCACTCGGAAGTGGATGGCATGGTTACTTTCCTTTGCGAACACGGGGGCTTCCACTTCCATATTGCATGATGTGTTGGTTTGATTGTATACCGATGAACTGGAGATGAGATCTTCAGATGATACCTTTCCGTTTTTCTGCATGTGGCACAAGGACGCCTTTGTTATGTGAAGAGGGGTAAGTTTCACCCCGCACTGTATTTCAGCAATGGAGTCGCGACAGAATGATGCAGCAGTTGCAGGAGGACTTGCTAGTATATGTTTTAACCATGGGCAGCTTGCTTTTTCCTGCGGTGGTTGTTCTCACAAATCTGGTCCATACGGACCAGGTGTGAGGAACCTGTATGCTTCGAGATTGATTTGTTTTCAACAGTTCAATCACTTGATTCACACATCCAACAGCTTACTGGCAGGACGAATGCAGCTGGGATCATTCCTCTATATATGTACCACTATGTACCTGTAATTCGCTATATATTCCTCTCCCTTTTCATCGCCAAACCAAAGACATCCAGTTTGGGCCAGCTGCATCCGTAGCAGAATTCCAGGCCGATTTTGAGGTCTTAGGCATGCCCTAATTGTGAGACATGCTTCCTGGGTGTCACGTTGTGAAACATGCATGTATGGAAATGTATTGCATATGTACCTGTGTTGGTGTGCTTTCAGGGGCTCACGTAGATATTTAGTCATATACGATTAACATGATAAAACATAATAAGCCGACAGTATAACTAAATGAATTACATACACACATATTCCATCCATATTCCGTCTTTGGCGTTGGCTACGTTCCAAAAGCCACCTCCTCCACCTGAGGCTCAGCGTTCAATTTGCCGAGCCCGGGCGCCCCACCCCATGCGCCGCCTTCGCTCCCCGCGGGCGCCCACGCGGACGCGACCAGTGGGTCGACGGCGCCCAACGCCGCGTCGACGGTGGGGTCGCTGGCGGGGGATGCTTGGCGAATGTGGGCAGAAGGAGGGGAGGTTGAAAATACGGGGAAACGCAGTGAAACTATAAGAATACGACGGGTTTTAAACTGTGATTGATGTGTTCTCTTTTTTTTGCACGGCTTAAATTTAGTTGGGACACATTCTTGCGAAGACGTTTTAGCCTGGAAGTGGGAGAAGAACCTAACTTCATTGACATAGATACCCTTCAGCATGTTATTGTTTTTTGTGCTGAGGAGATCCCCATGGATAGGACTCTTGGGTTGTTGGCCCGCAGCCGGTATTCTCAAGATGTCTCAAAAAGCATGCTTGTATTTCCCCACATCTCTGTGTGGGGTTCTAGTTTTGTTGGCTGCCATCCCGCCCGCATCCGCCCTTCCTTCCTTCCCTCCGTCCTCCTCGCTCCCTCCTCCACTCACTCGCTCGCTCGCTCACTCACTCACTCAGTCACTCACTCACGCTCACTCACTCACTCACTCAGTCACTCACTCACGCTCACTCACTCACTCACTCACTCAGTCACTCACTCACTCACACTCCCAGGCGTCTGCAGAGACTTCGTCACTCACTCACTCACTCATTCACACCACTCAGTCCATCACTGACGAGACTGCAGAAGGGCCTGCAGTGTCCAGAGACTGCAGAAGGGCCTGCGGCGCGCGTGGTGCAGAAGGGGCTGCGGCGCGCGTGGTCGCCGCTGGGGGCCCGGCTC